ATTTATGACGGTTGCAGTGTCCCAAAGTCAGGGCATCTCCTTTTGCGACCGTCCGATAAGCAAAACCAGTTGGGAAGCTGGGTTCACTTAACAACCGGGTTGCCAACTTATCAACTGCAGTGATTCACTTAACAACCGAGGCAGGAAAGGTCGTAAAACGGGGCAAAACTCACTTAGCAAATGTCTCCGCTTAGCAACAGAAATTGGGGGCCCAATTGTAGTCATAAGCTGAGGACTACTTGGACTGCATTCTAACCACTGCGCCACTACTGCTACCCCATCAGCTTCCCACCCGTGGACTTCCTGTTGCAATGGGAGCTGAGAGAGTGTGTGTGATGACCCAGGGCCCCGAACGGAGGCAAAGCAATCAGCTGGCAAGAGCAATAGTCTTTTTAATCACTGCCAATGTTCACCCAACAGCCCCCACATATACTGGCACGAGTTCAAACAAAACAGCCAGGGAAGTTTACGCTGTTCTTAAAACAAGACAGATAACAAGAAAACGTAGAATCCTTTTAACTCTCAGCTTGCCTGCGAACTGCGAACTGCAAATTGCAAACTGCAGACTGCAAGGAGAGATCAAGAATGTAGTCTGTGGTCATGCAGCAGGAAACAAACTTAATCCCAAATACAAAGAGTCCAGGTACAAGAGCTCACATCACAAGAGTTCACATTTGTTCCTGGCAAATGCCCCACCCCACAGCGTCTCCTTAAATACCTACTCCCCAGGTGTGCCTTGTGGAGTGGGGCGGGATGCTTTCCTCCGGAGCATGTGAGCCTGCCTCCGTTGTTCCCTCCTCCTCTCTGCTCTCCTTGCTCTGGGATCTGGTGGGGAGGGGCCTTGCTCCTAGCCTGAGCTCTGCCTTCCCTGTTCCAAACCTGAAGGGCCCTGGCCTGCCTCAGCCTGCTCCTCCCCACAGTCCTCCGAAGCCACAGACTCCCCCTCCTGGGCCTCAACAGGGAACTCCGTGTCTTCCTCGGAGTCAGGCTCGGACGGAGGCATGACAAGTGTGATGGAGGGAAGGTAAGAGAGGAAGCAGCCTAGCAGTCACTGGACGTTGTTTCTCACGTACCTGGTCCTGTGGCAAAGGACAGGTTTCTACCGAACCATCAAGAGACAAACAGGGGCTTAAGCCAGTCGGCCTCGGTGCCGTTCCTAGAAAGGGACAAGTATAGGGGATATTTATTTTAGTTAGGGACAAACCTCCCCCGCCCACTCCCCACTTCTAAGCAAAATGTCCAAAATTTTCTAAGACAGACATGTCAAACACAAGGCCCGGATGCGGCCCGCGAAGTGGTTTCATGTGGACCGCGAAACCATCCTGGAAACAGTGAGGGAACGGCCCCCGCTGCCTTGGCCCTGGCCCAGGCTGGTCGGGAGCCAATGTACAATTTTGTGGTGGCCATCTTGGCACTTGCCCCAGTGGACCATGCCTTGGCACTTGCCCTGGTTCCACCCCCTTCTGCCAGAGACCCTCAGATCTGTCCCACTCCTGCTCAGGCCCCCACAGGCCCCCTTGACGTGAATGATGTAGAACTGGCCACGCCTACCCAGTAGGCCACACCCACTCCATCCACGCCCACCCAGTAGGCTGTACCCACTCTGGCCACCCGACCCCCCCAGGGCAACCGCAGTGCTGATACGGCCCTCAGTGAAATTGAGTTTGACACCCCTGTTCTAAGATATGGGTAGTCCTCAGATCACGGCCGGTCATTTTATGAACTTTCGGAGTTACGACAGATGCATTAAGAGTTGTGTAAAATGTCCCTCCGCACTGCAGTCACAGGACGCTTGGCAACCAGCTCACCTTTAGGACTGGATGCAGTTTCCTACGCTCACCTGGCCATGATTTGCGACACGTTTTGCCAGTTTCCGGCCAAAAAACAAAAACAAAAAAACCCCCCACAACTATTTGGAAGAAGGGGTTTGTTTAACCACCGCTGCAATTCACTTAACAATCACCAGGGAAAAAAGTAGAAAAAACGGCTCTAGTCAGGTGGGTGCCTTGACTCACAACCAGATTTCTGGTCCAAATTATGATCCGAAGTCAGGGACTCCTTGCATTTGTTTATATGTTGTTGAAGAAAGGGAGTATCTTCTGACGGAAGTTAGTTAGAGAGACAAACTAGGCTTCATGTACATTTCTACAGGCAGGCAGGAAGGAAGGAAGGAAGAAAGGAAGGAAGAGAAAAAGAGAAAAAGAAAGAAAGGAGGAAGGAAGGAAGGAAGGAAAGGAAGAAAGGGAGGGAGGGAGAAAGGGAGGAAGGAAGAAAGGAAGGAAGAGAAAAAGAAAAAGAAAGGAAGGAGGAAGGAAGGAAGGAAGGAAGGAAAGGAAGAAAGGGAAGGAGGGAAGGAGGAAGGGAGGAAGGAAAGGGAAGGGAGGAAGGAAGGAAGGGAGGAAGAGAAAAAGAAAGAAGGGAAGGAAGGGAAGGAAAGAAGGAAGTAATGAAGGAAAGGAAGAAAAGGAAGGGAAGGAATTTAAGAAAGGAAGGAAAGGAAGGGAGGAAGGAAAGGAAGAAAGGAAAAGAAGGAAAGAAAGAGGAAGGAAGGAAAGGAAGGAAAAGAAGGAAAGGGAGGAAGAAAGGAAGGAAGAGAAAAAGAAAGAAAGGAAGGAAAGAAAGGAGGAAGGAAGGAAGGAAAGGAAGGAAAGGGAGGAAGTAAGAAAGGAAGGGAGAAAGGAAGAGAAAAAGAGAAAAAGAAAGGAAGGAAGGAAAGGGAGGAAGGAAGGAAAGGAAGAAAAGGAAGGTAGGAAGGAAAGGAAGAAAGGAAAAGGAAAGAAAGAAAGAAAGGAGGAAGAAAGGAAAGGAAGGGAGGGAGGGAGAAAGGGAGGAAAGGAAGGAAGGAAAGGAAGAAAAGGGAAGGGAGGGAGGA